TCTTTACTTTATTCTATTTTTGAATTCAAGTTTTGTTACGGTACAGGGAACTTCATGACAATGGATTTTACGGAGGTCGTCCAGATGTATATTTTTCTCTCAAACTTGAAGAGTTGTAAGTATTTCCCAAACCTTGAAGATTTAACATTTGAAATTAAATTTACATTGATGTTATGTACATCTTTTACTGCTAATATTTCTCTTTTGCATGTTGAACAGAGATCTAAGTGGCAACCAACTTACAGGAGAGTACCCTCGTTGACCATTACTCACCGCAGAATCTATGCAATCATTCAGCATTGCCAAAAATAATTTCACAAGAATACTACTAGAAGATGCCATTGCAAATAAGTACAGATTGATAAAGTTGAAAGGCATATTATTGACTACTAAATTCAGTTTTCTTTTAATGAGATTAATTATAGTTAAATCTTTCCATTATATTGCAATTGTTTAAAAATAGAGTCATTTCAAAGGTAAGCTATAATATGATGAGATATATATATATATATATATATATATATATATCAACATACATGTGAATATATGCATTAGTAAAATTTTGTAAAACTATGTCTAATAAAATTTCACAATCATTAAAAGAATCATAGTCATATCTTTTTGATATTAACTAAATATATTTAATTTTTTGTTTTGTTTATTTTGAATTTTCTATATATTACTGTAATATATCCAAAAATCAATTTTATGGAGAATTTCCAAATTTTTCCAATGTTTCAAGACTAGAATATTTGTAAGTTTTCCAACTTTTTTTTTTTTTTTCATTATATTATTTTATTTTGACCTAATTTTTCTATTTAAGTGCAAGTTCAATACATATAAATTTACCTTTATGAAAAAAATTATATAATATTATTAGATAGATATTTATTATTTCTAAATTTTTACTGAAATGTGTTTAAATTTTAAATGTTTATTTGAAGAAATATCTATTCACTGACAAAGTGCCATCAATTCACAAAGTAATTGAAACAACTTCTTATTTAGATTAGCTACAATTTAAGAATATAGGGCTAATAATTGAAGTTAATGCATAGATATTTCTTCAAATAAATTTGAAATACTGCTGCCAAATTTTAGCTTTTCAAAAACATTAAAATATATGTAGGTTGTAATAAAGTACTTTTATGAATAATTCATGATTTAAAATTTTTTTACAAGTAAGATAATATGATAAGCTTATTTCTATATGATTTTTAGTTAATGAGCTTAGATAATCATTTTGTAATTCAGATGATTGTATTTTCTAATTTCAAACTATTTGTATATGTGATGCAAAAATCTAAGTGATAATAAGTTCAATGGAATATTAGAATTTCTTTTGGATCATTTTAATAATTCAAAAGTGACAATGGTGAGTGTACCCTACAACCATCTAAGCGGTCCCATTCCATCCAACTTCTTGGCTTTAAATACCTCTATTGAAAAATTATAATTTATTTATTGCTAAATTTATATAAATATTTATATTAATAAATTATTTATAAAAAATAATTATATATATTTATAAATAATCAATTAATAATTATTGATAATTTTGTAAAGTTATTAAAGGTATAACTTTAAGAAAATACTATATTATTACTTTATGAAATATTCAACAAATTATAAGTTAATATTGAATATTATTATTAAAGATTAAAAATATTAAGTAGGATTTTAAAAAATAAAATATAGAAAATAAAACTTTATATCTTTTATGCTGCTATATATTTTAATTATTCTAATATTCATCATCTAATATTCATCATCTAATTTAGAGTATGCTACAAAAATAAACAAGCTAATTATTTTATAAAAGATAATATATTGTCATATTGAAACATCTAGTTTTGGCATTAATGCATTATAAAAATATTTTATTTTAGAATTATAATGCTATGTAGTCAGAAACTATTTTTTAAATAATAATAATAATAATAATAATAATAATAATGTTTTATTTTTTATATTTAATTATATTTTGGATCTAAACTTCACAAGTTTGAATATCTTATTAGATACTTAGATAGCAAAAATATTATTGGAACCTTCAACATTACTTATGTTTGTAATTTACCTATTCAATTTCTAAGCATGGCTCTTAAAAACTTGAGTTTAGAGTCTAATAATGTTGAAAATATTATATATACCAATGATGACATCAAACAAAAAAATATAGAAATCAAGTAAGATTTTTATAACCATTTAGTTTATTGTAAAGAACTTTATACAAGATTTCAAAAAATATATTACAAATAAATGTTGGTCTATTTTTAGTTTATTTGCAAATAAAATTTTAATTCTTAAAGAAATCTTCTAATATAGATGATATTTGTAGGTTGCAAATGAATCCACATTGTAAGAATAAGGACTTTGCTGATGCCAAGAGATGTTTTTATGCACAAGATTGTCAAATTTCTCAAGGTAGTATTACACATCTATTTTACAATCTTAAGTAATGTATATAGTAAATTGATATATCATTTTATAAAAGATAATTTTTTTATAATTATTTGTGAATATTAGCTAAAAATTGGATTTTATTTTGTAGAAAATATGGTTGATTATTTTACATATAATATATGTGCCTATAAAGCAACTATTTGTTGCAACAAATCAAGGTTTAGATAATTTTTTGAATGAAATTTGTTTGATTATAAGCATAAACTATAGAAACTTGGTAAATTTGAAAGAATATTATCTTTGCAAAAAATCAAGGTTCTTTGTTTATAAGTATGTAAACAACTTTGATGTTGATTAAATTCTACTTGGTAAGTTTATTCAACTTATACATTTTTTTTTTACTTTAATTCTAATAAAAAGTTATTATTATTATTATTATTATTATTATTATTATTTCTTTTTATTTCTTTTTTCTTTAGCATGTCAATGCTTATGCAATGCTTATCCAAAAACAAATATATAATTATATATTTTTATATGTTATGAGCTACTACAAAACCTCAAAGATAAGTTGTATCTTGGCTTTTATGATTTAAGATTTGCTCAAGAATAGCTCATGGTCTTTACTATCTTCATGCTTTGGCCCATCCAAGAGTGATCTATTAAGATATCAAGGCAAGCAACACACTATTGGATAAAAATCTATAGCACAAAATTGTTGATTTTGGATTAGCATTGTTATTTCTTCATGAAGAGACTCACATCATGACAATACATGTTATAGGTACCAAGTAAGTTCCAAATATCACATTTTATTGTCTAAAGCATAATATTTAGTGAATAGATATTTTTACTACATTAAAAAATAGATTTTATTGCAAAGTTTTATTTAAATACTGTATGATCCAATTTCTAATTTTTTATACTTATTAGTATTTTGTAATATTAGAAGTGTCTTAAGTTGATATATAGTTTTATAATCAAATAAGAAATAATTATTGTTTGATTGCACATGATATTTGGCACTAGAATATGCATCACTAAAGCAAGTTAGTAATAAAGTAGATGTTTTTAACTTTGGAGTGCTATACTTAGAAATAATAAGTAGACAAAGGAATATTTATAAATCTCTACTATAAGATCAAGTTTATCTTTCTTGATAGATATGTCTTTGTTTTTAATTTTTCTTATAAATATATTTTTAAAAATAAAATATGGCTATAATAAATAAAAATATTATTAAATTTAAAATAGTTTTATTTTATTTAAGATATGACAAGTATAAAAGATATATATGTATATAAGAGAATAAAAAATCTATACAAATGAATTATTTATTTTATTTGATTAGTACTAAATCTAAATTTTAAACTAGTAAAAATATATATCATTTATTTTTTATATATATATATATATATATATATATATATTTGTATGTGTATTAATTTTTATATTTATTTTTGCAAGCCAAGAATCTCAATGAAATAAACAAATTAACCAATTTGATTGAAAAATCATATTTAAATGAAAAAGAAGTACATGATGTACTTAAGCTTATTAAGATTGCTTTGCCTTGCATTCAACATGCTTGTGAAAAGCAACCTACAATGGCATGGATTGCATCTTTGTTACAAGCTAATGAGCAATCAAAAGTGGTTGTGCCATATTGAAGTGAAGTTCACATCTTTGATTCAAAAGGATCACAAAGTAATATATATTCTAGCTCAATAAGAGAAATAGAGTTGTCTTTACATAGATATTCCATTGAAATCCAAGAATGTGAACTTAATAGAATCTAAGTGCCATAATAGGCTTGCACTTCTAGTGAAAAGTTTTAATATATTTGTGGAATTTTTATTATATAAAAAAATTAAGCATAGATAAAATAAATATGTTTTAAATAAAAAAATATTTATATTAATAGAAAAAAATTGTGTAGATAATAATAAATTTAGAAAAAATCTAATATAATCAATAAGACTAAGTAAGGTTTTTTTTAACACTTTTTTTAAATATCACAAATTTACTTATTATGATTTATTAAACTAATATATATATTTATATTTATATTTATATAAATATTAGTTATTATTATTTTGAAGAAAAAATTCATAGCTAATTTTGATAAATTATGTTTTCTATAGTTAGCAATAATTTCAATACTCTACTATTTTTTATTTTTATAAAAAATTATTATTATTATTATTTTTATCATCATTCTAAGTAAAATGTTGAAGCTATCATATTGTAGTGGTAAATATGTTTTATTATACACAGAAAATCAAATTACTATGGATATTATTATTAAGATTTTAAATTATTTAGATGATGGTGATAGTAATAAATTTTTCATAAAATACTTATTAATATTTATATTTTTACTTATTTCAATTAACATCGCAGGAATCATATTTACTTATTTATAGCATTTATTAAGTGATAGGTTGGAGTTATGCTATTAGAAGTATATATAAATTGGTTGAATTTTTTTGTAAAAATATTTTTTTATTTCTCAGTGAAGATTTGATGGATATTTATTGGATTACTGGGTAAAAATAATTTTATTTTGCTACAAGTAATGTATACTCACGAGGTTCAATTAACATCTTCAACAAACAATTTTAAATGTCATATTGAGTGGTGATTAACTCAAAATTATGGCCCACCAAAACAACTTCGGGCAAGGCTCAGGCCCAATTCACCAGGGCTTAAGAGTCAGAGTTAGGCTTCACCCCTTTCTCCCTTGTGAGTAGAGTTCTAAAACTGACAGAAAGGCATCAATAATCAACATTATGTACAGTGGTAATTCCAGCAAAAGAATAAGGATCGTATTCCTTATGAAGAGGAAATGTCTGGATCCTAGAGCCAATAAAACCTCTGAGCCGCTAAAACGAACAGTCCATTGAAGCAAAGCAGCAGCTACGTTGATGAGCTGGGGTACTTGTCTTGTTTTAGAGATCGACTTCTCACAAGTCCGTAGCTATCTGCGGCCTGATCTGCACATGAAGTAGCGCACATAGCAATAATGAGCACATAGAATGGAAATATCCAAAACTGATGGTCTTGCTACCATAGATAAGGTGGAGGAACCGTATCAATCAATAAGTAACGGACCCAACCGATGTACTTGGAGCATTCTTTCCAGGCTGCAAATCTAGGTCTATGTATCTTTAATTGAAACAATACCCTAACTTGTTAAAAATGCATATCTTGCTTCCAATTGCCACCGAAGAATATTACAGAAGGATCTAAAATTATTTCACACAATTAGCGGAGTCACGTCACGCTGATCACGTCATATCTAGCTACCAGTCGTGTTTGATAGATTGTCGGGAAGAGGCAGGAACGGAGTACGAAGTTTCTTGTCTTCTTCATACCTGATTTTATCTCCGCAACATTGGCGAGGTCAACACCAGCATTGTCTTGTTCGATTTGTGCGGCAATGGACCGGCTCGAAACAAGACACCGATCTGATCTTCTCGCAAGGCCTGAAAGAAAAGAAAAGAAAAATAAAATAAAAAAAAATAAAAAAATAAAAAAATAAAAAATCTCAGGTCACGCGAGGTTTGGAATTAACAAAGGAAAGTTATCTCAAATTATTTAGCAACCATAAACACAAGCAGTTGACACAACCATTGGTATAGACGATAACATAGCATCCTAAATTGACAATCTTACTGGTGCTCGTGAGCATCGGGGATGCTGACTCAGCAGAACTCGCAGCACACTCAATACAATCAGCTTCTTCGCTTAGACTTGCAATGGCTGCTTTCATTCCTGGCATGGAGCTTTTCACATGGTCCATTAATACCTGCCATTAAACAAAATTCAGCCTTAATTCTCTGAAAAGATTAAATGAAACGATAAAAACTTATTGTCCAAGTCATCGAAATGATAAAATGCAATTTATTGTACCCAGAAACGTTGGAAAGCAGGGATGCAATGCAAAGAAAATCGACCAGGAGTATTAAGAAACAGAGACACGAAGCTTCGTGACACCTGAGTGCCCAACCATGCTGCACGATTCTGACAGCGACTGCTCATTTCGAAATGCAGGATTAATCAATAAACAGAAAACACCTACTCCAGCATGACCTTTGAAGCTGAACCACTATCAGCATCAGAACTGACACTTACCTCAACGTTTTCTAGGTGCTCTTTATGCTCTGCAAGGGTTGCACGTACTGCACATGCATGCGCATTTTCCTCCAAGTTCGTGACGGCTGCTAATATCTCGGGTCCAGCCCCATTGTTGGTCTGAGCCTAAAACACGTATCAAAATTGAAACATTAAGAATGGCTCCATAACTTCTCACACCGCATAAACTACATGAAGTCCATTTCCTATTTCCGTATAACAGCATGGATCTATAAAAATTAAATATTTAAGTTCGAGCTGTAGGTCGCATCCAAGAAGCTAAATCGAGCATCAATTTGTTTTTTTAAGAAGATAAGGAGGTTAGATCATGCAAATAGTGAAAATGTTGAACCGGAAGGATACACAGAATCTTCTGCTATGCTGCGTGGAAACTTGTACTCTATTTGAGCAAAAAGGCAGGTTGAGATCATCACCAAACGAAGTGCTTGCTTGTGGATGCGCTTCAATGCATGAGTCCAACGACGCAACACTTCAGACACATCCAATGGGGAAGCATCCTTTCCATTCCTTTCATCTTGCTTGCTGCATTTGTCATTGTTGCACAGTTCGTCACTTGCTGAAGCAGGCTGACTCTGGTACTCTTCATGCCAACTGATTCTAGTATCACAAGACAACGAGTCCATACAAGGTCGGCCAGCATCCTGATCCATTGCAGCCCGCAACAGAGTGCCGTCTATCCTGAATCTGAACAAGAGCAAAGAATTTTTCAGATGAAGTCGTATTCTTTAAGTTAAATGCTATTGAAGCAAAAGGTGAGATCACATAGATGTAAGATAACAAGCTTCAAGAAAAGAAAAAGAATAAGAAAAAGAAACGTTCGGAAATGCATGCTTCCAAGTCCAAATGGTTCCAAAATAAAGTACCTGTGCTTTCTCTGGGCAATCAAGTCTTCAATAGGCCCGGATGTGGCTTTTGCACTCTGTTCTGCAACAATCAAGCCAAAAGCAAAAAAAAAAAAAATCAAAAGCATTCTTAGATCCTGGGCGACAAGTTCATGTATGACTAAAAAGTCTTATATAAAATCGTTAGCTTTTAACCATATAACAGAATGAATTCCTTGTTCTCAAAAGCACTTCAAGAGAAATATTGTAAAACGTAATAAATTCAGTGGCGATACACGAGAGTTCTGAAATGGCCCTAATAATTTAAGAACGAGACTACAGTGTTTCTTACTTTTGGACTTACTTTAAAAAGTCAAATCATGAAAGAATTGTATTACATACCTGAGTGATCCAGAAGGGTTCTCCAAATTTGTGAAGCTCGATCCACTGTCATAGACTTTACATCTGCAGCCGTCGCCTCACCTGCATTACTTGATGTTCCCTCCCTTGCCTCAAAAAATTCTACTCCAGACTCTTGCACCTTTCCCAGCTCTTGATTCAAAAACGCCTACATCTACATGCCAGTTAGTTCAATGCAGAGAAGGTTATAAAATTGAATTCACCTTCCACCCGTCCTTAAACTACATTCTTTGACAATAGTATTTATATGTGACCCTATGATCGTGAAAAGTAGACACCCTCAGAAAATATGGCCCATTAAAGACCAATCAACGTCCAGACTGGTTGGTGCGGAGTGACTCACACCTCTTCAGCACACAAAGAGCGATACTCTGCAGTAATTTCATGTGCCATGTTTGACCACATTCCCTGCCTTCGAACTGCAGTTGCGGCATCTTCCAAGAATTTTCTCCTCTCCAAAGCGATCCGGGCCTGCTATGAAGAACCACAATTTAGAGAGAAAGGCACAACTGTTATTTTGAGCATCTGAAGCAGTAACTTAGAAAACATTGTTCTTCAATGTCATAGACTTGTGCTTCATTTTGGTGACCTTGGCTGCGCCAGTACATGAAAGCCTGCGATTTCGAGCCTAAGAAAATAACCATATCATATGACCTACAATTGCAGTAGCGGCACATGTGTGTGGGTGCTAACCCTAGCCACACCTGACAATATCTTTACAAACCCAATACAAACACAACACTTGCTTTCTAAGCAACGCTTTCCACTACACTGTAATTTTGTATACAAGGATAAGCTCAGCCATTCAAAGAATTCACTGTATTGGATTAGAACCGGGAACAATCCCCCCAAACAAACTGGACTACTGCATATCTTTCTAGAAACATCCGGGAAGGAAGTGGCTCACGTTTGTAAACTGTTGGTTCCGACACAAGACCTGGTAAATCCATGCTATCCTTGATAAATTTTAATATCAAACAATAGAAAACAAAGTATCAACGGATATTTTGGGGCCTGATGATCTCTTTAGTTGTGTACCTTCGTAACGTTAAGAAGAGAAGCTGCATGCATATTATGAGCAACAATCTCTGCTAATGGCGCTGGAAGTGGATTTGAGGCAACATCTGCAAGGAAAGTGCGCCGATGCACCTCTCGCAGGGCATGTGCAGAGAGCTGCCACAATAGTTCCACAAATCTGCATCATATCAGCCTCCTCATCAGCTCATATATCAATATTATGTCTGCGCTGAAATTCATATATTCTCAAGCTTCTAAAATATCATAATATTACATCTGTATAAGTTACACCAGTTGGCTGATAATTCTCCTGAAGTACAAAGCATTGATATTGAATTGAGAAATTTGACACAAGTACCATGTAAAACGAGATCCTTATATTGCATAGTTTTAGTGAGGAGTGCACGATACAATATAGAAAAGGACCAAGGAATGTACGAGACAACGTGTATAAAGTATTTAAAATTTGAATGTAAGTGTGAAACCTCTGTCCGCAACAAGTAGCCAATGATGAAACTCTTGAGTTACTGTGTGGTAAGGCTCCCTGAGATTCCAGTTCATTGATCAAGTTTTGAACAATCTGCAACAGAACAATGCAATTATTTTAACAAATCTAGGAGAAGTCCCCACATGCACCAACGGGATTCGAAAAACATAACAATCAAATCACAAATAACCAGAATCTTTAAGCCAGACGCAAGATGACAACGGTAGCTACATGCTTACATCTGAACGCACTAAGGAATCGGCTCACCTTCCGGAAGTCACGAGATTGAGCAGCATCACATATTGGCCATACTCCAGCAAAGTCCTGCTGACTGTCAACTTGTCAAAACCCCATCTGAAATCATTGTGTAAAAGAGCAAACATTCAAAGACACAATATACATAGAAGTTTGAAGAAGCTATCATAAACTAAATTCTAATGCTGAAAGTGCATTTGACCTCCACATACAGCTACTCCGAGACCCTCCCAGACACGAAGTGCAGTTGCAACTCTAAGGTAAACCCCCAACATTGATACAAGGGATTCAACGCTGTACCTTAGACGAGAGTTGAGGACCTCTGAGAGCTGAAAGGAGAAAGTAGAGAAGGAACTCGCCCACTCGAGGATTGGAGTACCGAAAAAGCCCTGCTCGAATACCAGGTGAAGCCCCAAGTACTGAGGCATCCAGTCCTAACAGAGAGCAATTCGTGTATAGAGCGGCCTCCATCTCGCCCTCTTTCTCTTTCTCCTTTTCCTTTTCTTTTTCGCGTTCACGATCTTTCTCCCTCTCTTTCTCCTTCTCTTTTTCTTTCTCCATGACCAAGGCCGTGAGCCCCTCCATGATATCTGTTGTAGCCCACTGCAAGGTGGAGGCAATCTAGGAATTTCAAACTTACTTAAACAGTTATAGAACTAAGGAAAGAAAGGATTAAAGTAAAATAAAAACTTCACTCCTTTAACCAAGCTCAGGAACGAACTATCATATGCAGCTGGAGTCTGCTACTAATAAGAGTTTTCAAATTTCACATACCAAATCCTCAACAGTTTTTCAAGCAAGAATTACCAAAGAGTTCCCCAGGCAGCAAATAAACTGCATAAATACCTGCATGATGATGGTATGTTTCGACAAAACTATTTTGTTGAAGGTACACAAGACCCCTGTCGTGAGGTCCCGTGTTCTCTGAAAATGCCGATGAAGGTAGCGGCTTGATTCGAAGCAACACAACGCTTAACGCACTTACTAGGCTGATAAACTTATGGTCATCTCAAGGCGAGGCATGCCATCCTTCAAGAGCTTTTGACGACCTTGACAGCAGAAAAGAATCCAGAAGAGCGTGCACGTGTTCGGCTCCAAAGGCAATCCAAAACCCACGACATTGACAAGGTGACGTTCGAGTTGCTCTCAAAATACCTATTTACTTTAACAAGCGTAGAAGAAACTTATTTCAATTTAACAGACGATCCTAGAATATGCGCCAAACGATGACCGATTTTTTAGTGTCTCAGACCTTTCAAACTATCCAACAAAAGCTCACTTCGGCTGAAGATATAAATAATAACCTCCTGTAATTTCAGGACCAGTGCAATTCCAAACAGTTAATGTGAGCGATTGAGCATCCTCTTAGTGCTGCTCTTCAAGCTCTGATGCACCGCTGTCATCCACAACTAATTTTTGGAGATAAAGGTAACGTAAGACGAGGCGGAAAGCCAAAAGGCTGCACACTACTCATTTTAGTTTCCATCCACTTGAAGCGAAGAATAAAAATTTGAAAACAAAGAACAAAAAAAGAACAAAAAAAGAACAAAAAAAAAAGAAGTAATAATTTAAATTTACAAAGACAACACTGGCGATGAGTGACACAAAGGTCGCAATACAGAGCACCTTTCTACCAGTTCCTCCTAGAACACCCCTGTCAAGCAATCAAAACGAATGTCCCACCGACTAAGACTAACTTCACGTCATTGCATGAAACACCCCTACAACAAGACACATCCACTGGCACTGGAAACGAAAACCCAATAGCTCCACTAAACCCCTGCAAATGAAGTCATGGTCCATCAAAACAACAACAACAACATCGGCGTCGTGACGTAGCCACCCAACAAAAAAGACCTTCTCATGAACAACCCCCCCCACAACGACAACCCAAGAGACACATGGGCAACTAGCAAAATGAGAGAAGACCCTAAATCCAGAAGCCTGAAGCCAGCTGAAGTGGAGACAGGGCAGGAAATTAAGGGAGCGGAGAGCAAGAGGTGGGGGTGGTAATGGAGGGGGAGAAGGAGGAAGAAGAAGAAGAAGAAGAAGAGGGGAAAAGACTTGCGGCCGAAGAGAAGTGCAGATCCATGATGATGGAATGCTGCTATAAGAAATAATAATAATAATAATAATAATGCAATGCAATGCAATGCAGGCGCACTGGAGCGTCGTCGGGAGATGAGACACGCCAACCAGGGTTGGTCGGAGCAATCAATGCTGCCGCTGCCCCCTGACAGTGTCGGAACTAAGCAAGGCCCCCTCTCCCTCCCTCCCTCCCTCCCTCCCTCTTCCGAGCAGCTCCAGCACTAGCTGCACCAGGAGGAGCACCAGAAGACGCAGCAGGAGCAGCACGACGGCGACGACGCAACAACTACAGAGAAGCAGCACCAGCACGACGACCGAGTTGAAGTCGAGCGACTCCGACGAGGATTCGTCGGGAAAGAGGACGGAGAAAGGCCCCCAATTCGAGAGCCACGAAGGGCGGACTCTCACATTCCCCGCTCTCGTACTCTGGATTCCCCCACCCCCCCTTAATTTGGCAACCCCCTCCGCTCCCCGCGGTGATGTGCCCTGGATGGATGAATAAAAGAAGGGATTGATGTGTGGATGAATGACTTTTCGTAGATGAATAGGCAATTGGCTACGGTAGCAATATCTTTCGTTCATCCATCCATTCGTGAGTGGATGAATGGATGGATGGATGGAGAGAGAGAGAGAGAGGAGCCATGGTATTTGTTAGAACGTCGCTATTGATCATTGATTTTATATATTTTTTATTGATGTTGATAGGGGTTGTTGGATATTGAATAGTTCGGATTGACCGTGACGTTTTTCTGACTTAGTAGGGCAATTTGGAATATAATTAATGGAATTTGAAGATAGTAAGTTGAATTTCTCTCTCTCTTCACATGTAATGTTTTTGTTGTTGTTGTTGTTATATTTTTTTTATTCTGAATATAACAAATTGGTGGGTTTCCTTGAACAACATAAAACATGCTAAAAATGCTCTATTAAAGACTTTGTATGTTTTTTATTTTTAATTTGTGTTTACAAAGTCATATATAGATATATATATATATATATATATATACATATATAAATTCAAAGAGCCTTTTATGACTACCTACCTAGATCATGGTTTTTTTGGCTAAATATATTGAAGTCTCTCTACATCATATCATGAGCTTGTTTGTATAATATATTTTTAGTTCTATAAACTTGGGAGATTTTTATACTGAGTAGAAGAAACGGCATAATTTTTTTAACAAACTGTCATATCTGCAACAATTAATTATGTTCAATGAAAAAATAAAAAGAGAGTATTGTGCACATGGAGAATATAAATGTAAGAGAATGTGCAGATGGGAAGGATTGGTTTATGAATTTGGGCAGAATTTGATACAAAAGAAGCTCTGCTGTTTAATTGGGTAACATTTGAATCTTGAAGACAGAGCATGAGTAATGTGAATTTCTTTCAAAATATTGGTCCAATGGCATTCAAATCAATTAGACGTGTTCATTCTAACATAATCAATTATGGCTTTACAAATGAAGATACTTGATGCTTGATACATAAGTATAAAGTCTTTTGCACCAAAGTTTATTATGAACTACTGATGCGTTGGATTACGCATTTTTTATAGTATGATTTCATTGCATATTACTTTTTTTGAAAAGGTGTTGTTCAAAAACATAGAAAAAAAATTAGAATAAAAATATTTAAATTAAATTTAGAAGTTAAATAATGATCTTCATTAGTATATATTTAATATCTAATGTTAATATATAAAAAAACATATAAAATATACTTAAATTAAAATTTTATAATATATTAATTTTATTTAAGACCTAATAAATAGAAAAAATACTTAAAATACAAAATAATTCATCTATAAAATTTATAATTGATTGAATAACAAAATATTAAACACACAAAAATATTAAATAAATCCAAGTTTTTACTAAATCAACCATGTAATTACTAAATCAATGATAAAGAATATTATAATCAAGATGAATGTGGTTGGTTTTCATTGGTTTTGGATCTAGCAATAAAAAAATAAATATAGATTTATTATTTTATTTTTTTTTGATGGTTAGAATTGGTGGGTCAATTTAGTAAAAATCTTAGTCTATTTAACATTCGTGTAAATATAAGAATATATTATTTAGGATTTTAATAAATTAATATAATATAGATAAATCAATAGTACAACTAAATAATTATTATCAAATAATAATGACTTTAAATGAAATTATCATACAACTAATTTAAGACTATATATATATCTATATATATATATATATATATATATATATTAAAAAAAATTATAATTTATTTTTAAGGTTACAACATATTTGCTATCTGTTCTCAAAGAACAAGGAATCAAAATCTTAAATTATTATTTAAATTTGATACAAAATATTTAATTTATGTATCTTGTATTGTATATAAAAACATGTTTTAATTATAGTAAAATATATATATTTTCTGGTATTATAACAAATATTATATCAAATAAGATAAAAACCGAAAATAATTTTATTAAACTAAACTTTGTAATATGTAATATTATTTAAATATAATTATTAATAATAATAACAATAATTATATACTATTAGAGATTTTACCTAGAATTGACTATAGGTTGTTATACTATTAACATTCAAGACATAATTCCAGAAAAAAACTCTTTAATGTATAAACATAATTACAGATCTCTAACAAGAAATTTTAAAAAATAACTAAAAGTGAAAGAGATATAATTATTACATGAATAGATAGCAAAATAACCATTGCAATATATATACAAATTAAGAAGTCTTGTATTAGAAAAATATCATTAATAAGATCAAAGATAGCACTAGTCTTGCTTTTATGTATATTACCTAAAAAAAAAAGTTATAAACATGTTATATTGAAATAAAAAAATTATGTTTTCAACTATCTTCAAATAAAACATCTAAAATACCATTATATAGAATGTATGCTTTAACATAAATATTGATATGAATGATTTGGATTATAAGTAGAGTTAGATAGAAGTAAATAAAATTGGATTAATTTGATAATATCTTGGTGAAGAACTTCTTAAAAGCTTTATAGATGCAAAGTTGACCATATAAGTATTTTTAGGTAATTGATAGATTAGAAACTAGGCCAAATTGGCCATGTGGATCATATGTTAGAAACTTGCCTTGCTAGTTAGATACAAGTTCTACAAGTTGGATACATATGAAATAATGTTACAATATAGTACTTTAATTAGATAGTATATATGGAAGTAAGTGTGAGGCTTTCTTCACTCTTCTCAATGTCTTTCTTGTTTCTAGTCTAATTTCAAAAGTCTCTAATCTTCTTATCTTTTTCAATAGTCATAATAATTTTTGTGGAATACATATACTTTCACATATTTATTTATTTATTTTTGGTACAATTTTTTTAATTTGTTTTATTTATCTTCCTTTAAGTCCTGTCTTTGATACTTGATAATAATTCAAGATACATATTGACATGAAACATCAAAAAAAAACTCTTATTATCAATATAAATTAAAATTAAATTATGACTATTTTTTAGATATTAAATCATCTTTTGTTAAAAACTCACAATAATTATAGATTATTTTTTGTAGGTTTTATAATAATTTTTTAAAGAATATTTTAAAATAAAAAATAAAAAATAAATTAATAAATATATTATTTACATTTTCTTATAATGAAATTATAGATAATACGAAATTCAATACATCAATCTTAATGAAAAAAATGATTCAAAAATCCAACCACATAAAATAAGAATCAAAATAAGAATTCCAACATAATTCTAAAAATTTTAATTTTACATATTTATCCTTATATTTTTTTATATAAGTTAAATTCAATAATTAAAGAAAAAATAAAATTTAAATTAATAAAATTTAAATATTAGCTTCTAAATTCTAAAATATATTGAATATCATACATAAATTTTAGAATGTTTTTGATTTATAATAAAATAAATATTTTAGAATATATTTTAAATTTTGAACTTGACTTGAAATTCTATATCTTTAAATTTTTTTAAACTATGAAAAATATTTTTTTATATATTAATTATATTTTTAGAATATACAAATTTTTTTCTTAAGATGAAAAAAATAATAATTATAAATAACTATTTTATTTTAAAAGTACACTCAAAATATGCTTCATTTATCATATCCCAAAATTATTTGTAGAATTTTTTAGCCCAAATAATAAGAATGTTTTATAAAAAAATTGGCTAAATAATACAAATCTTTCTATTGTTTCTTTTTATTTAAAAAATTTATAACCCAAATTTTTTTTTTTTTTTTTTTTTTTTTTTTTTTTGTTTTTTTTTGTTTATTTTTTATTCAAAATCTTGTATAATTTATATCTTTTTATTTTTTGGTTTATTTTCTATTGCAGATTTGAAGATATTCAAAGTTTTATTTTGGTGTTTGTGGTATATAATTTCTAATTTGTTGTATGAAAGTAAGGTAAGTTAATGATAAATATGCACATATATATTTTAAAAATATATTTGGCTATGAATTCTTGAATCCATATAATATACTCCCAAGATTCTTTAATAATTATCTTATTAAAAGTTACAAAATAACATCATCCTATTATGCCAATTGAAAAAGATATGGATATTAGTGCTAAATTTTAGTAGTTATCCTCCTGAAGCTCATTTACCTTTGTCTATCTTTTCTAAGTAGAGGTCATACGTTTATTCTTTATTAATAGAATTTGAAACTTATTGGTATATTTTATAATAAACTATCTAATTTAAAATAGTAATTAAATTACAAGTTAACTTTAAATTCTTTTAATTATATATTCTTAAATTTATTAGCTTAATAATCTGAATTTTATTTAATTTTAAACTCCTAGTACTACATTCTTTGGTCTATATTCATATTTGTAAGTTTTTATTTTTATTTTTTATATATAATATTAATATTTTATAATATATATAAAATACCATCTTTATAAGAAGAAATGATGGATTTTAATATTTAGAATAGGAATGATATATAAAATCCAAACTAATAAATAAGAGAATAATATTGCATAGTAATAATAATCATATATGAAGTATAACTTTGATTCTTTTCATATAGACCTTAAGTTTTATTACTTTAATAAAAAATAAGTAAATTTAAGATTCTATACCTACTTTCTATATTTTTTTATTAAAATCTAATTTTAGATGCCAATATTGATTTCTAATTATTTTTTT